ATTTTCCGCAACAACATCTTTCTAACATTCACAGATTTTTTGATTATACTTCACAGCTGTTTAGGTTGTTCTGAAATGCCGGGATGTCGATATTGCTAAACAGATCTTGCTTGGTTTTGCCAGCCTTCTGCCACTTGGTTGCATTCGACTTTCATATTGCACCGAATACAAACATGTTTTTATGTTAGTTTCACATTAGTATATGACTGAAATGATTTAATTTTTTTTTTTTGAATTTACTTATAGTTGACAGTCAAATCTCTTGACTGCTGGAAATGCGTAGAACAACTGTTAACTAGTAGCCTGGTGGTCCACCCTATAAAAATGGTAACTCTTTCAGTGCTGCATTGTTTGGTGGGGAACCCAACTGGCGACCGTAACGCACATTACATCTCCTCAAATTTGGGTTATTAAACTTTCCGATTTTCTTTCACGAAAATTCAAAACCTTAATTCATTTGATTGGGGCATTTTGTATTGTTTTTAAAAAATTTTCGAAATTTTAATACTAATTCCAACATAATTAAGGTTAAGTTAGAGCAAAAAATAGATATTCTACTCAAAATTGAGAATGGCTTTGAAAAATGTGTAGCAGCTAGAATTTATTAGCTCAGTTTTAATGAAGTTTGTTAATATATCTAATGTAATTTTAATTTTAGATGATGTGTGTTTATGTAAAAAGTAAGGGTTTAAAAATAAAGGAATAAAAGGAATGTGAATAAAATAAATCGGAATAAAAACCTGAATAGGAATGTTTCGGTTAGTAATAACTCGAACTAAGACCAACTAATAATATCTCGAACTAATTACACTGATTAAATATCTTTTTTTTGCCGCAATATGAAAAAAACGGCGATTGAAGTGGGATGGGGGAGGGGGAGGGAGGTAGAGGGGGTGTCAGAATAGTGAGGACGGGAGCAGGGGATGGACAATAAGTTTTTAAGTGTTACAGCATCAGATATTGTTTCTTATAAGGACAAGTTATTGATATTTGGAGAAGATTCTCTAGACGAATGGCGCAATCTGAGCATACGATTTTACCGATAATTTACGGGAAATCTATAGTATTTTCAAGCAGTAAAATATTTCGTGGTGTAATCTAGGAGAACAGTAAAATAACCCATGGAGTAGTCCAAGAGTATCTTAAAACGGCTGTGACCTTGCCAGTTGCAACTGTTAGGAGAACCACTCAGCCAGTAATCCCTTCAGGAGACAAAACGAAACGCCAGGATCTCCGGCAGGTGGTTTTTAACATTGGTCAAAGCAACTGGAAAAGGCGACCGATTGCTTAACTAAAAAAGCAGGCTATGAATTGTTGGGTCCGAGAGCTGAGTTGACGACGACGCAGGGTAGACGAAGTGACGCAGAAGGATAAATAGGTTTATCCGCAACACTCAATATTAGCCAACCAACGAACAACAAACCAGCAAAAACAGGAGTATTTATACAGGGAGTAGAGCACAATAAAATACACTAAACGACGCAACCCGATCTATATGGAGTCACAAAGAACATTACAGAAAATTCTGCTGAACAATCTGTAACAGAGATCTCCCTAGAACTTTCGAAGATCATGATTAAAGATCATCGAGGTCTCAACATAAATTAACCGTTTTTTCGGATAATCCATATCATTCCAGACATAAAATTTCATTTTGAGGGCTAATTTGCTGGGTTGTCCGCTCGAAACACCACTGTCACCAGATGCAATTGATATCGTCGTTTTGACACTTCATGTACCGCCGGGTGGCATACGTTCCCCGGCCATTGATGAGGACGATCATCTTCGAGCCAGTTCACTTTCATCCGGCGGATGTATTTCACCACCGATGAGCACTTCCTCAAAAGAGGATAACATGGTGAGCGGTTGAGTTACTCAATTTTTTCGAAAAAAAAATTTTTTTTTCTTTGAAAATCAATGATACTTTTTAGAAGCTACTATTTTTCGTTCATTCCCTCCTGTCATAGATAAAATAAACGACTCCTTTTCTTTTTTTG